GGCGCCGCACTCGCGGCGTTCACGCCCCAAACCATCCTCGTGCCCCTTTCCTTCGTGCAGGGGTCGCTTCTGCTGCGCGCGTATGAGAAGCTCGAAACCGCGGACGCTGCGGAGGCGGTGGGTATTGCGGCGGCGCAGTATGTCGCCTCCGGCGCGACGTCGGGTCCTCTTATACCCGAGGAGGCGCGCTTGCTGGAGGAGCTGGGCGGTCCGATTCAGCGTGCGATCGATGAGTTGGCCGGACAAGAGAAGGGGTGCTTCATGAAACTGAGTTCGCGCTCACCGAAGGACGCTGCAGCGCGTTCGGGGGTGTTCGAGGCGTACTACACGCGGTCGGTGCGGGAGGAGCTGCGCCAGGGCCAGGGCAAGATGGACGAAGAGCGCAAGCTGTGGCTGCTGTGCGAGTCGGAGGGGGCTGCGCTTCGATTTACGGACGCGGCGTCGGTCATTCGGGCGCTGGTCCTGAGTGAGCGGGTGTGGCAGGTAGGTTTTTACTCTTTTAGTTGGATAAGTTTCTGATTCAGGTTGTTAGGATATGACTCTGGCAATGCGACATCCCGACACCTGGGACCAAAATGTTATCCTGCGGAAATGGGAGCCGGTTCCGATTGACATGGTGAGCGTTCAATTCCCCGCCATCCGCTCCTCAATATTCATCCTCACCCACAGGAATTCCGCACCTTCGTCTCCAACAACCGCATGACCGCCATCTCACAATACGCATATCAGCTGTTCTCCCCCCGGCTGAACGACCCTGCGCAGTTGCAACTCGCCCTCAGCGCAATACGCATTCTCTTTGATTCCCTGTGGCCTATCCTCGCAAAGGAAGGATTCACGGACTGTGTTCTGGACTTCGGGGTCATACCGCCGGCTGAAGATGAAAGTGGCGCGTGGGGCGCGATCCTGATTGAGATCAACCCGTTCGAAGAGACGACGGACGGGGCGCTGTTCGGCTGGAATCGGGAGCGCAATTTGATTGAGGGCAAGGGCATGTCGGGTGTGAACTCGGAGGCTCCGGTGGTGAGGATTACGGAGGCGAGGCGGACGGGGGCGTTGGCGATGGTGCCGAAGGGGTGGAAGGAGGTTATTGCGAAGGTGGAGAGCGGGATGACATATTGAACTGGTTGAACTAGTTAGTAGAAGAAGCTGAACCAGCTTTTGAGGTTGAACGTTGCGTAACAGACTATAAACATTAAATTCAAATATATACTGAGAAGTCCGGGATTTGTAACGAGCGGCGGAGCTTAGAGCACCATAAAAGAGTCGTTGTCAATGAATGTTCCGATTAGACGGAAGAGAGGAACCAATCTTGGTTCTTGTTGTTGTCCGGGCGTGCGCACTCCCAGATTTGGATCTGCAACCGCCATTTGTAAGTACATCGAAAGCGCGTAATATAACACTCACCAGGTTCCCGTTGGTGCTGGCGCCATCCGTCAAGTCGATGCAGAAATCAGTCCCAGCCCACTGGATCTGGCTTCCGTTGTTCGTCCACAGTTGGTTCGTCGGGCGCGGCAGGCAGTTCTCGAGCGTGAGCTTCACGCCATTGGTCTGGTTGCTGTTGGGCACGGAGAGGCACTTGTCCTGGAAAGTCGTGATGGCGCCCGTGAGCGGCGCGACGGGCGCGAGCCAGGTGATGTTGCCGTCAGGGAACGTGGTGTGGAAGTCGCTGTTCAGGCAGTTGACGAGCGCGACTTCCGCGCCGACCTGGTTCGAAGCGGCGGCGATGCAGTAAGGGCCGCCGCCGCCCGCGGAGAAGTCGCCGCCGGTGATGTGGACGGATCTGAATTACGGTGAGTATGGAGCCTGCTGAGGGAACTTTTGACAGCGACGCACTGCTGGTTGTCGGGGTCCGACGTGCCGACCCACTTTTGGTTGGGGCCGTCTGTGCAAGTCCAGATCTGGAGCTGGGTGCCGTCGGTGATGGCCCCGCCAGTGAGATCGATGCACTGAAAACCGACGTTAGAAACGGGTGAGAATAAAATCAGAGGAAGCAAACCTTGTTGGTGCCCGACCACTGGAAGGTACCGTCCGTGACGGAGGTCCACCTGGCAAACGCGTAAGACTCGATGAATCCAATACAATAGGATACGCACTGCTGGTTCGTGCTGCCCTCGACACAAGTCCAGATCTGCAGTTTCGTGCCGTCCGCGTTGACGCCGCCGGTCACATCAATGCACTGCGAACCCGTCAGAGGCAAGCAAAAGTGAAAGGACACGATCCCACGCGTATGCACCTTGTCGCCGTAGACCTGAATTGCCTGGGGGCCCGCGTTCTGTCGGTCGAAGAACGAGACGTTCCAGTTGTAGACCGCGTTGTCTCCGTTATCCTCGTTGCAGTTGTGAATCACGACGGGCGCGCCGTCGGTGTTGCTCTCCACGGCAATGCAGCCCTGGAGACCGGCGCTGAAGACTAGCGTCGAAACAAACACATGTGACATTAACTTTGAGTGGGGCGTTCAACAACAGTGACGGCGTACAAGCGGGGTTGGTGCTCTGGATCTCAGAGGCGGCGACCGAGAGGGCGAGGGACAAAAGAGCGATAGACAACATGGGGGAAGAAAGGAAGAGAAAATGGAATGGTTGTTGTTGCCGGGTTGTTTTATAGCATCCCGTCATTTGCAAATTTCGGGCAGAAACTGCCGCTTTGTCCCACGGATGGAGATCACTGATCCACAAGATCTTGGCGTCTCGTGTCTCTTGACTCATGGATTCTCGTCATCCGGTCTGCTTCTCGGCAGACTCCGGCCAAAGTTGAACCCAACTTGGTTGAACCCTGTTGAGTCCATCGACGCTCTGCGAGCAATTTTTTTCCAGCGGCCAGAATTTACCCACCGAATACTTGCCTTCTTCCTCCGCTGAACTAGGCATTTCCTCCTCTCGACCTCCCCGCGCCTAATTCACATGCACAACTTTCACTCCTTTCGAACACCATATAGCGAAACAAAAAAAAAACGATAAATTTTATCGACCAGGTGGTTTACACAGTAACGGGGACGTTCCCGTTCACCGGACCCAGAAAATGGTCCTGGAGAGGCGCTTCGAGGTGCCTTTCAATTCCTTCAGCAACTATACGCGCTGCACGCCTTACACCCGGGCAGGTCGCAGACTTGCGCGTCAGCTGGAGACCTTCCCACAGCTCATTCATCCTCCCCACGACATCTGCGGGCGGCACCTTCGCTATTGCGGCTTCTAATGCGATGTTCCACTTCGAAGACCACTCCTCTCCGCAATCACAGTCCTTGTTTGGTGAACAGAACGTCGTCAATGCAGAGTCCCGGGTAGTTACGATGCGATCCCACAAAAGGGATAGCGAATGCTGTCCGATCAGCATACGGAGCACGTGGAAGTCGCTGAGGCCGGGAACCACGGCGCCACCGACTGGCAGCTTAAACCTCCTCAGCTGCTCGTAGTACACGTGTCAAAGGAGCCGACGCAGCTGGAACTTGTAGCCAACTTCCAGCATCTGCGGAACATTCACATCCCGTTCACGTTTCGGGAGACGAAGCCGCGCCAGCCAGGCATTCGTAACGCGGTCCCCGAGCCCCGGTAGGGGCGACAGACTGTTGAGCTCCAGGAGAGATACGTAGATGTCCGGTTTGCAGGTTCGCAGTGCACGGGCATTATCCCTTGATATGACGGTGGTGATGGTTTCCTTCGCCCAGCGCTCAAAGGATTCGAGCTGATACTTGTGTGAAAATCGCGCAGTTTCGATGAGTTTTTGAACATCTGTGTCTGGAATGCGTTCTTGTCCCAGCTGTAGAGGACTTAGGGAAATCAATAAGGGATATTGGCCGAGGACCAAACAGACACACCTCGAGTACGCGTATCGTAAAAAGGCGCGCAATTCGGACACCGTATCGCCCTGCAATTGGATTGGCCTCTCATCGCGTCGACCCTCCGCTGAATCCCCATCCGGGACGGGGAGCGCGAAGAGCCCCGTGAACACCTTTTCTTCGTTGTCTGGCGACATATAATGGCGATGGACCTAGACTGCCATGAGAATGAGACACCCTTCAATATTGAGAATCGTACTTTGAAAACGGTGTCTGCCACCCGGAGAACACAATTCCCGTCCTCCCTGTGAAAATCTGGGTCTTTGACGAGGTGCTCCATGTCGGCGCGGTTTTCGGTAGTCGGGGTGGCGGGGGCCACAGTAGCAGGCGGTGCTGTGGCACCGGCCACTACGATTCGTTTGCCAACAGCGTTCTGGCGCCGTTTGGGGGGAAGCTCGGCGCTGACGGAGCGGATCGTCGTCGTCATCTCTCTTGCGCCTTCGCGAACGAGTGTTTGGGGCGGAGGCCATCGAGAAGAGCAAGTAGTGGTGAGAAGCTGAAAGCAAAGAAAGGAATGATGAGAAGCGACCGATGCCGCAAACAAAGACGTGGGAACAATGGACTGTTTGAAAATCCCAATTTGGAAATCTTCGTGGCTTTATACCTTTGTTTCAGGCTTTCAGGCGGCGAAGCCATGAGTGGCATGGCTCAGTGAAGCTGGAAGAGAACAGCGAGTTTGGAGCGCCGGGCCATAAGAAAGAGTCAAACATTTTTTTTTTTTCAACCACGACTGGTTTGTACGGATTTTCGTGTAAGGCCGCTGACTCGGAACGGAACGTGTGAATAAAGTGAGGGAACCCACCTAAACTGCGTCGGTTCGGTGGCGCATCATTGCACCTTTGTTGAAATTCGCGCTGAAGATAATTCGCGGCGAAAGAACACAGAGAAGAACCCGTTCGATTCGGGGCTGGGCCATCGATGAAAACGCGACACCTTTTTTTTGGTTTGTGTTGTGCTCCGTGTTCTGATGGGAATCAGCCAAGCGAGGTGTATTTTTCATCGCCTCCTTTGTTCAGCGTCAGAGATAATTCGCAGCGGTTCAGCTCGGGACTTAGCCATTGGATGAAGGCTAATATAATCCAAGTGTTTTTGTACCGAATGGTTTGGGTTGAGTGATTCATTTTCAATCCCGCGTTCACGTCGTAAGGTGTGAATATCGGGTAGTATTGGCCTGGTGGCGCATGGCCGCGCGGCTGCTGAATTTGGAAAATCTGAACACAATGTTTGGACGCAGAAGGCCCCCGTTCGATTCGGGGCTGGGTCGTGAGACAGATGATTGTTTTTTTTGTTCCAAGAGCTAAGGTCAGATGCGTGAACAAGGGGAAGCGCTAGCAACAGGCAGTCAGGTACTTACCTTCCACCGGCTCGGTCGCGCATGGTTGCGCCTCTGTCGAAACTTGAAGCGGAAGATGGAATTCAAGGCAGAAGAGCCCGTTCGATTCGGGGCTGGGCCATAGTACTAGTCCAGACATGCAGGGTTTTTCTTTTTGCTGTGCTAGAGGTTGGCCATAGGCAGTAATAAGAAACGGACATAAGTACGAGTCCTAGTCTAATGGTAAGTACAGTGTGAGCAATATATAAGGAGTTCAGCATACCTCAGACGTGCACGGTAGTGACAACGACTGAGGAATGTGGACGCGCGTCGCACAGCATATGTGCTGGCGATTACGTGATGCGTAGCGAATCCCCGAAAGGGAGTCGCGCCGAGGAACGCGTCCACAGAACGCGTCGAATCAGCTTGAACAAAGCTGAAGGGACTGATTCTCTCAACACTCCCCCACAACGAAACTTCCGTGGACCTCCGTGGAAGGTTGAGTTGCCCAGAGGAAGAAGGACACAAAGAATGTGGTGTTGACGACGAAAGTTCGCGTCGAGAGCCGAAGAAAATGGAGGCAATGGGAAAACGAAAGGAAAGTGAGAGTGGAGAGACCGAATCCTTCGACGATCCGGGTCGCAGATGGTCTGAGAATTTTCTCGGACGAGATTGCGATGAGATGAACCAGTGACCTGAATTGGAAGGTCAAGTCAAAGAAATCGGTGTCGCGATCGACTGAAATAAGAGTGAGGCGTCGACCGAGGAGTCAAGGAACGGATAGCGAAGATCGACGAAGTAAATCTGGCAGGAATCATCCGAGAATTTTCTCGAGTGAGTTCACTGTAGATTGGTGGTATGGCTGATTTCAGCCAAGATGTGTCGACTCTTCGCCGCCGAGACCGAAGAAATCGGGTTGCGACGCGAGGATGGGGCGAACAGCGTCATAGGACATGTGAGACCTGGAGAAGAGACCATAGGAAATTTCCTGAATGGTCCGAGTCCAATATTCGACGGATATGGATGAAAGCGCCGAATGGAGTGGAATGTCATCCATGACTGCTGGTGCCGGAGAGGGCGAAGGGAGCGAGTCGTATCGATGGGTGCCGTCAATGTCGCAGGACGGGGGAACAGGCCCCGAGAATATTCCCGGTGGTCCTGGAGCTACACTTCTGTCGGGAAAGAACTCGGCAAAAGGGAATTAAGCACGATCCGTGTCTGCGAACGTCGATGGAAAGGCCAAGGGAAAACTCGAGAGGAAGGAGATGGCGGAAGGAATAGCCCGTCAGAACGACGCCCAGAATGCTGCAGAGAGTAAGATCTGCGTGGGGAGGATAGAAGTCGAACATGGTGCTTTTGCGCATGACGGGTGAATTCCCAAATGGGGAGAAGAGGTTGTGAGCTGCGAATAATCTCTGCGGCTCTAGGAATGTGTCGGCTCGTATCGTTGATGAGGAGCGACTGGGATAGACTCGTCTGCGCCAAGAGATCGAGGCTTGAGACGGTCGAGGGGATGAGCAAAATGTGCGCGGAAGATACTCCCCCAAATATTGCGCGAACGGCATGCGAAGTCAACGCTGCCTGGAATCGTCCTGATGGGAGGAGGAATGGCACGGAATGAACATGAGGAATCGCCGCCCGGGAGAGAATTGCCAGGCGTGCGAGGATGGGAGTAAATACTCCCCCGGATCGAATATCTGCGACTATGTGATGAGTGTCGCTAGAAGGAGCCGGTGGATAAAATGCCCGAGGAAATTAGGGCTGCCTGAAGGGCGAGAGTTGTGCCGAAGCACACTGCGACGGTTGGAGCGTAGGGATCTGTGGCCGGTGCTGATGCGAGGTGGGAATCCGCGATGAGGCTGGAAAGTGTCAGATGACAAGATGGGAATGCTCCCCCACAGCTGAAGCGTGGATGAAGAGCTGCCTCGGTTCGCTGGACCCGAAGTGGCTTGAGGATAGAGTAGACCGGTCTTTACCGCCCGTTCAGATCTTTGTCCGATAGTGGGTTAGGAATACTGGGATAAAATCTCCCCCATAGCCGAAAGCTGAGGGTAGACGAGACCGCTCTCTAGGGCTGCCTATGATCTCCCCCCGAGCCGATAGCTGAGGGTAGAGCTGCCGACCATGGTCGCTGAGATATACTCAGACGCCAGAAGGCTAAATTTCTCCCCCATGCCGGAAGCTATCAGTTCGCGATAAAATGCGAAGATCTGACCAGAAATTGAAGTCCCAAAACGCGAAAATAAATCGCAGGATGTCTGCCAGCGCGGGGAATGACCGTCGCGGCGACGAGCACAGCCATACCGAACGATGTGACGAATGGTGAAGATGGATCGGATGTGGTTGGCGTGCGAGTGGATGTGGATCGAGGATATGGTGAAGCCGATCCGAAAATGGTGCAGAGGGAAAATACCTTCTGTCGCGCTCCGGACGCTGACGAGGTTAAATAAGGCTCTGACCGAATCTCCGTTCGAACGAGGGATAGAACGAGGTCGAAGAACGGGATGGGATTCCTTGGCGTCCGAATTGTTGCATGAAGAACGGCGGTGAGCTCCAAATACCTGCACATCGCAGGGGATTAACGTCGAATGGAATTGGTCCGATTCGCGCCGCCGGTTCGCCGTAAGCAAAATTTGTACGTGGAGCGAATCTCACGCCAGACAGATGTGGAATAAAATCTCACACTGCGCGGAGGACGAACCGATTTGGAGGGAATATACCAGATGTTCGCACGAGAGTCTCGAATGCGACACTGGGAGAATGCCGGATGGTAGCGGGACGACAGAGGGAAGGTGAGTGTTGAAAATATGTCCAGAGTCAAATGTGGTATCGGTCGATGGTCGTACGGGCCTCTGGTACGCCAGATCCGAAGATGGGAGAATCCGGAGGGGTAGCCTAGTGAGTGCCTCCTACGCAAGGAGATAGTGCCAATTAGCGAAAGCGTGGGGCTACTTCGAGCTGGCTGATCTGAATTATAATTTCTCCCCCACAGTGAGAAGTAGGCGAAATTTGCCGCCTATCTCGGTAAATGCATAAGCTCTAGCGGGCTCTGCTCCCGATCGAATACGCAAAGACGCTAGAATGAAGACCCCTACAATTTTGTGGGCTGCCGGCTTCGTAGCAGCAGGTACAGTCTCCGAACTGTCCTGGTCGAAAAATCTGCGAGACGGCTAATTAACCGCGAGTCGTTTCGATCGGATGATGTAGTGGTCGATATAGGAGTAATGGAAAGGGAATGACGAATGGTGGCCGGGTGAGAAAGCGGTGCGTAGCAGAATACGGCGGTGAAGCGGGAAGATGGGGGAACAATCGAGGATCCAGCATTGCCGTGATCCCACGAAGGCGTCATGTAAACGAACCCAGAGTACACCGTGGCGGCAAGAGGATATTCTCTATGCACGCGTTCACGGGCACGAAATATGACCGCAATACACGCCGGGGAATAACTGCGCAAATGCGCTAGTTAGAGCACAGCACGCGAATCCCAAGCCAGAAAAGGTCGCCTGGAGATGCCCTAGATCCAAGATGACACACTAGAGAATGTCCCGAGTGGCCAAGTCTGTCCGCTAGATCATTTAAGAACTGCGGAATATTTGCTGGTCCAAAATCCGTTCCTGCCGCCAGATGCACGATTAGATCGCCACAGTTTTGGGCTTCGGAGTGCGAGGGTGCAGGAGGCAACATAGGCCCGTCGACGAGAAGAAATATAGTCGACGTCGGAAGGTGGTACCGGAATCTGAGACAACGAGGCATCAGAGATCTCGGGGAAGTTTGAGCGAGTGGTAGCGACCGAATGTCGAGAGGAATGATGCTCTAGGACGATGAGAAGATGCTACTGGTCTGGAACAGGAACGCGCAGAGCGCGGGGCCCATAACCTAATAAGAAACGGACATAAGTACGAGTCCTCAGACGTGCACGGTAGTGACAACGACTATATTGGGAACAAACTGTACCTAATAAGAAACGGACATAAGTACGAGTCCTAGTCTAATGGTAAGTACAGTGTGAGCAATATATAAGGAGTTCAGCATACCTCAGACGTGCACGGTAGTGACAACGACTGAGGAATGTGGACGCGCGTCGCACAGCCACCTCAGGAGTAACCGCCCACATGCCGTAAAGGGCCTCTTAGGCCCCCTTCGCTGTATGAGTAAACGGGGCCTAAGAGGCCCCATCCGCCGCGCGGATGCTTCTTCATTAGTCAAGTTGCTCAGTTCCAGAAATACATGCCGGCGCGCCGCGTTCCATTATTGATTGCAACTCTGATATCTACTCACGGTTCAACGATGCGGCGGGGGTGGCGGTTGTGTGGGCTCTTGCTTCCTGTCGTACTCCAGAGAATCCGGAGGCAGCCTACTGAGTGAACTGTGGAAGTGCTGCTTAGCCACGAGCTGGCTGGGCCGTGGCAGCCAAATCAATGGGCCGTGGCAGCCAGATTCATGTCTGATGTGCTGCTATGTGCTGCTCAATACGTTGCCCGGGCCCAAGATGCTTCGAGTTTGCTTTGTACAGTGATTGTGTACTATGTATCCTTCCACTTATACTCATGACTTCTCCTATTCAATCGTATTTCGACATCCACAACCCGCTGGCGGAGGCATCCGCCATGACTTGAAAATCATAGTGCACCGTTCATTTTCAGGACTACATATCAATAGGCAGTCTTTTGCCACCATGCAGACTCTACGTCTGGCTTCCCAAAGTACTGGCATGCATCCGCCACATCCGCCACATCCGCCACGCTCTTTCAAATTTTAAATATGTGCAAAGTACATCCTTCATTTTGTAAACAGCTCATTCTATATGTACAGCTCATTGGTACTTGGACTGATGTGGGGCTCAAACAGGTCATCGCGGTAACCCGCGATAAGTGTATATGCGGGGCGGGGGGGATCCATCCGCACTACTGCATACACTTTGAGATCCGTATCAAGGTTCAATTTCTGAAATG